TGCTGGGCACTGAACCCAGGGCCTCCCACACGCTGGGCAAGTGCCCTACCATTATGTGAGTTACATTGACAGCTACAATAGGTCTGTGTTCAGAATATTTACAAAGCTGTATAAGTATTAAATCTAAAAAAATGTCTCGGACAATCAGTCAAAAGTTATGCAAATGTTAGAGTATAAAAAATGGTCACTGTAAAATAAATGATTTAAATATTGCTGGACAAATAACGGCAAGAAGCTAAGAGAACCTCCTTGGCGAAGTCCCCAGCTGTGTGGTTCTGCTGGCCGCCGCTGGCCAAGCTGGCCAGGGAGCACTTTCTTCAGAGATAGACTTTCCTCTGGTCCTTCCTCAGGCCGTCATAGGCTGAACAGAAAACCCAGTTCTGGTGTTCTTAAGACGTCCAAACCCAGCCGGGCGGTGGTGGCGCACGCCTTTAATCCCAGCACTCGGGAGGCAGAGCCAGGCGGATCTCTGTGAGTTCGAGGCCAGCCTGGACTACCAAGTGAGTTCCAGGAAAAGGCGCAAAGCTACACAGAGAAACCCTGTCTCGAAAAACCAAAAAAAAAAAAAAAAAAAAAAAAAAAAAAGACGTCCAAACCCAACAGCTCACAGGGAGGATTTGGGAACTCTGTTAGTGTATGGCCACACAGTGTGGTGGAAGCCTTTTGTGAGTGGCTGTGAGAGCCGTGAAGTTCAAGAGTAGCCTCCCTTCCACAGGGCCCCACAGGATGGCTCAGACTGCCCACCCCCTAGGCAGGAAGCAGGTGCTCTGCCACAGGAAGTCCGGCCTGTTTCCCCTCTTCGTCTGCGCACCTGTGACTGCTCCCCTGCCCATTGCTGCCTGGATACTCCGGCCGTACGAGATTTCCAGGTGGAGGAGAAGGTGCCGTGCATTGCTGGGCATGTCTCTCAAGCTCACTGTGTCGTCTGTACTTCCTACAACCGTCTAGCTGTGGGTGTTCCAGTGACTTCTACCAATCACTGTTATCGCAGCAACAGAGCCCACCAGATAGATTCTGCACACTGAGCTGCTCTGTGCTTCTGTGTTTCCCATCTGTGAGGAACCTTTCATTCTGGAGAGGCACACCACTTTACATACATCAAGACAAATTTAGACGGTGTCTGTGGTGCTTAGCTTTTTGTTCCATGTTTCCTGTGCGGGATCTTGAACCCCCGTCTTCACAGGCATGGCGAGGGCTATCCCACTGAGCTGCAAGCTCTCAGCCTAGGCACAGTTACTTAAAAAGTTCAGGCTTCCTAAAAGAGGTGCTAATGAACATTTAACTAAAAGCTTTAGAAGATTCTCTCGGGGGAGAGCCAGATATTAAATAAGTAAAAAGGCTGTTTCTCGTAAATATGGGACTTCAATGAACACTTTATACTTTATCTCCTCTAAAATTTTGCATATTGTCTCTGTTCAATCAATTGTAGAACTTCGTGACAGAGCTGAGTGGTGGGCTCCGTAATAGGGTAGCTCACGGGGAGCCTCTTTTCCAAGGCTGGCATATGAATGAAGTACCTGCAGGTCACAGAGAAACAAAACACCGTTAGAAACGAGAATTTTCACATTGGCTCAGCCAGTGTGTTCACACTCACTGCACAAGGTCGGGGGGTGGAGGGGGGGAGTTCGTGGGAGTCTTAGCCACGAGGCGCAACGTTTTCAGACTTCCAACCTCCTGTACTCAGGACCGAGAAAAGTCTTTGCTGTGTGTGCATTTCAGCGAGCATACGTACTTCACTTGAGAAAGGAAGTAATAGTGGAAATAGTGGAAAGGAATTAATACTGCCGCAGAGGCAGTAACCAAGACGACAAGACAGGACAGGACTGTTTTCATCAGACGGTGCACAGAAAGGGGGGGGGGCAAGCTCAGATAACCCATCAGGACCAGTCAAGAGGAAAGAGCAAGGGATTAGCTCCCACATCCTCTACATAGAGGCTTCTACATAAGAATATAGACAGCCTTCGGCCATCCGCTAGGGTAGCATCCAATGGTTCTCAGCCCTGGGTGAATAACAGAATCACTTGGGGGAGCTTTTAAAGACTGTCAGTGCCCAGACCATGCCCCTAGGAGAACCAGAACAGAAGGCCCACGGTTGGCTCAGTGTTATAACTACCCAGATGATTCTAATGCAAAGTAAGTCAAAAACCACTAGATTAAAATAAAGACTACAAACCTGAATGTCCACAAGAAATGTAAACTATCAAGGTGGGAAGAGTAGGGAGGGGGGGAGGGATTAGCCAAAGGGCACACAATCTTCCTGACAGGGTCCTGCAGGGAGCTCCAGCCAGCTGTGGCCATCCAGGAGTATGACACCATTTTTGCCAGCTGTCCTGATTGTTTCTAAAGTTTATAACTAGGTCTTGTATAATTAGGCTAGGCATGAGGACACATGCGATCATAATTATAATTACAGCACTCAGGCTAGAGCAAGAGGTTTGCAGTGAGTTCAAAGCCAACTGAAGCTACAGAGTGAGTTCCAGACTAGTCTGGGCTCCTCTGCAAGACCTTGTCTCAGAATGGAAAAGCAGGTTAGGGCAGGAGTTTTGTGCTATACATGCTACAACATGGATAAACCTTGGAAATATGATAAACGAAAGGCCTGAGGCCAAAGGTCGCTGGTTGGATGATTGTCTGGAGGAAGAGTAAGTAAGTGGCTGCCAGCCGCTGAGGAGGAGGGCGGGGAAATGGGATGCCTGCTTAACTGGTCCTGGGTTTCCTTTAGATAATGACAATGCTCTGCAGTTCAGTAATGACAGTTGCAAAATATTGTGAAATGTGTTCAAAGCTACCAAATTATATGCTCCGAAGGGGTAAATTTCACGCTATGTCAATTTTTCCTAATGAGAAAGAAAAGGAAGCTAGAAAGTGGGAAGGCGGTGTGCTGGGACTGCTTTGTGGGATCCACTTGGAGCCAGATAAATCCCTTTTATGGTATCCAGAGTGGACCTTCTGGTGTAATGGCACATGCTGGAAAAAGAGAGTCTACACAGAGGGCTGACTTGACTCCTTTTGAAGCCAATACAAAGCCATCATGTATGCCTCCGCATCTTTTGATGTCTCCCTCTGAACCAAGGGTGAAGCCGCGTCCTTCTCGTTGATGGTAAAAACCACCTTAGCTTTTCTCGAATACGTGTTAGCTGAGGGTGAATTGCTGAGTGCATGTGGCCTTGTTAATTGCTTGTGGCTTATTGCATTTGGCCTTGCTAGCCTTGAAGCCAAAGTGGAACTGGAACCCTGAGGGGCAGCAGAGCTGGATGGACAGATGGATGGAACCAATCCTGGCTGCTGCTGCTGCTTACTGTTCTCTCACTGGGGGGTGACAAGTGTAAATAAAACAACAACAGATCCCCCAGTGCGTTTGTTTACTGCCCCCCACTTTCCTGATTGGTCACCCCCAATGCGTGTGCAGCAACGGACTTGAACTCACGGTTCATAGTGTATCATCCCCTTCATCACGAGGGCTTGTTACCCTAGAATACATCATTATACTTCTGTGCAATGTAAGCTTGTGCACAAGCCGGTGACGATGAGTGACAGGTAGATTCTGGGCTGGGGAGACCCCTCAGAGGTTCTTAGAACTGTCCCCAATTCCACCTTACCTGTGACGTGATCCAATTAAAATATTACTGAAAACAAATGTGGGATTTCCATCACGGTTCCCCCTCAACACCGGGTCCTGTGGGCGGTGTCCGCGAAAATGAGCGGCGAGCCCTTTGGTGGTTGGGCGCGCTCTTTCCCTCCGTACCTGAACTCTTCGCTGTGGTCGCTCCTGATGTGCTCGGCGAGAGCCTTGCTGTACTGCAAGCAGCTCCTGAGGATGTAGAACTGCTGGTACAAGAGGACCGCCTGGCAAGGAGTCAGCAGCTGGAGCGAGGCCGAAAGGCCCCTCGCCACCCGCTTCACAATGCTGGCCACAAAAGCCACCTAGACGGGGAGAAGCACGCCGCTATGCGTGGGCACAGGGTACCGCACGCATGCACGCATGCGCGCGCGCGCGCGCGCGCACACACACACACACACACACACACACACACACACGCACGCACGCACGCACGCACGCACCCAATTTCAGCTGTCAACCTCACTGACAAGTCTAGGCTGAGGCCCTTGCCACGCTTACTCCAAGGCTTACGGGCTAGTTCCCTCTGAGATGGTACTCAGCGCCAGACCACAGATCAAGAATGATTACCATTTTTAATTTTTAGCACTTTGATTTTTTTTTGTTGTTTTCTTTTTTTTTTAATTGCGTTTTTAATTATTTGGGGGTGGCATGTTATGCATGCATGCCACAGTGTGCACACGGAAGCCGGCAGACAGCTTACTTAAGGCAGGTCTCTCCCAAGGGAATGAATTCAGGTTGGCAGCAAGTGTATTACCTGCTGAACCATCTCCTCGGCTCACAGCACCTTGGTTTCACTAGGTAAGATAATCAGGGCTGGCTGACAAGTAGGTATGCCCAATGGCCACACCCCCCTTAACGGTTTCTTTTATTGCAAGTTTCTCTCAGGTGGTCTTCTTTTGCCCCCTACTGCTCAGAGCTGGCTTTAATACCGCCACGTGTCCGTGTTCCCTTGCCTCGGGGCGCCTTTCATCCTGACAGGCTTCATGGTCACAGACTGGCCTCATACTTGACTCTGTTCCTTTCAAGAGTGATTGAGGGACTTCCCTATTTGTTTGAGATCCTTAGGAACTCAGCCAGATCGTAGAGCCTACAATCGCTGCATAAGGTAAGTAGGCGTCTTTCATACTGCATAGACACGTATGAATAAGTAAAAATTATGGTGCTCCCCGATGAAGCTGAGACCAGCTGAGCTCTGCGCGCTGCTGAAGGAGCCAACATTGTGGCCTTAAACTCTTCTGGGCAGTAGGATATTCTACTATAAATGTACACTGTGGCCCTGGCCAGCTTTGCATAACTGTGTCATAGGGATCTGTCAAGGGATGACAGACTCTTCAGAACACACTCAACGTCATCGCTCCGGAAAAGTAGTTCCCAGCTGGGAACAGGTCCACCGGGCATACGCTCACATATGGAAAGAGAATACATGACCTCATGACAAGAACTCCACTCGCTACCTTATCTGTGTGTGCACTCCATTTACTGCGTGTGTGTGTGTGTGTGTGTGTGTGTGTGTGTGTGTGTGTGTGTGCACATACGTGTGCTATGGTGTGCAGGCCATGACCCACCTGTGCAATTCAGAGGACAGCTCATGGAAGTTGTTCCCTTCTCCCAGCACACTGGGTCCAGGGAGCAAACTCCGTTCCACAGGCTTGTCAACAATCACCTCTACCCACTGAGCAAGCTCATCAGCCCCAAACACTACTTTTTGAAGAGATGTCCAGTAAAAACATGTGTTGACTCACGGAACGCATGAATGAGCAGAGGGAAACTAAGTTCGGGGAAGTGGGAAGAGATTTGAGGGGTGAAAGCTTCACGAAGATTAGTGCATTCGGTATTTTGTTGAGCATCTAGCACTCTAGACATATTCCTGTCTCCACGCCCTATGGAGACAGCCATTGTCTCTGTCATGATAGACTAATCTGTAACAAACCTCAGCTCACCAGCGCTTGGTACAGAACAGAAAAGTCTCTGTCGCTTGTTCACACTACACAGCCCTTCCAGGTCACTCGGGAGCACCAGTGGGCGGACCCGTCACCGTGGGAAACGCTATAGGTAGGATTCCAGCAGGAAAAGTGAGCCTAGGTAAGTGTGCTATACAAGCTCGCACAACTTCTGCCCAGAGTGACTCAGGCCAAAGTCATCGAGTGAAGAGAGAGGTCCGATCTCACCAGATGCCTAGTGGAAAGTGTGCTGGGAGACACAGGCCACTCAAAGCTACCACAGGACAGAACCACATGACCACAGAAGCCAGTGCAAACTGCCACAGTGACTGGCTCAAGGGGAGGAGGAAGGCACGCCACGGTGTCCACTGTGTGACTGTGATGGGGGATCTGACCCAGTGAGAAGGTCAGAGAATCATCTTCTGCCTTCCCGCTCCAGGAATTGGCACTGAGGACTCAGAGATGAGTGAGGGTTAACTGGCCGGAAGGGGGCGGGGTATTTCAGACACAAATTGCTACAGCTTGTGTTTTCAGGTGTTGGAAAACCAATCCCCCAAGTGTGACATGGAAGGACGCCACAAGAGCCTCTTGAGAGATGGTTCTTCCATCTTGAACCAACCAGCCTCCAAAATGAGCCAGCCAAACGAACCTCTGCCCTTTATAAATCACCCACTCGGTGGCACTCTGTGGTAACCTAAGAGAATAAGACCTACCCAGAGGGAAAGATCCTGCAGTGGAATCAGTGGGGGAGCAGGGCTGGCCATTGAGGTGAGAGATGTGCAGGGCCGGATGAAGGAGGGACCAGATGAGGCGGCAAAGCTCTAAGATGCCCCGCCCTGCGGGCCTGGGAGGGAGGCTGGCAAAGGGAAAAGCTGCCCAGAGATCACCCAGCTAGCTGAGAGCAAGGCACGGCAATCCCATTTTTTGTCTTAAATAGCTCCCTCTGGCTGTGATCTAGCAGAATGACAGACATGGACCATTTGGATGTGAATGGAATCTTAGAAGAGGTCAGAGTTGGGGACCAGGGTGTTGGCTGCAGGGGCAGAGCACACAGCAATCCCAAGTGTTCTGTTCGTTTTCTACTTATGGCAAATGTCCATCGTTTTAATCAAATTACAAGCCGATAACTAAACGTTTTGTTTGCTACGTATACCTTCAAAGTTTTTTTTAAATAGAATAAAGCTAATCTTAAGCCCTAACTTTAATACGTTTAATTCCAGTCTCAAATATAAAAACATTTTCTTTTCATTAAATAATAAAATCATCAAGTTATATCTTTTGCTTCTGCTCTGTGGACTCCAGTAAATCCTAGGACAATGCCTGTGCTTTATTAATTAAGCACACAGCATCAGGTAAGCCGGGCCTTTTTCTGCTCAGTACTCACCGTGGGAGGGCAGCTTTGTAGAAAGGACATCATCCAGCTGATAGCAAACTTTGTGGATCCCAAGGCAAGATTTCCCTAGAAACTCAAGGGCACAAGTTATATTCCTGAAGTCTAAGTCAGATCTAAACGAATTCTACCCTCCCCAAAATATGTTTTTATCCAATCCTCATCAATCAAATCATTTTTGTTTGTTTTTTGTTTTTGTTGTTTTTCAAGACAGGGTTTCTCTGTGTAGCTTTGTGCCTTTCCTAGAACTCATTCGGTAGCCCAGGCTGGCCTCAAACTCAGAGATGCACCTGCCTCTGCCTCCCGAGTGCTGGGATTAAAGGCGTGCGCCACCACCGCCCGGCATCAATCAAATCTTTAAACATCAGTATCTGTAAACCTATAATAGCCTTGAGGAGAAGGGAGTATCCCTGAGGCCAACCAGTTTTAGAGACTGTCCTCCCAAAAATGTTACGCTATTGACCATAACCTAATCAAATCAGAATTATAATAAAATATGCGCTGTACCTGCTGAAAGACAAGAAGGATCTCAAAGAGCAGGGCTGTCGCCGTGTCTGTGTATTCCAGGATGAGCGCCTGTAACTAGAATTTCCAGTAATCATTAATGCGCTGCCACAGGCTGGGCCACAAAAGCCATTTCCCTTCAGGTCCTTGACAAAGGATTTCTGACTTAAATTTTTAATCTGTGATGTCCACTTTTCATTCCCAGAAAGGTGGCTTTCATGCTGGGCTGGCTGACTCAGGCACGTCATTCCAGACACTAAAGAGCCTGGGCCACGGAGGTCACAAATTCAAAGCCTGTATGGGCAACTTAGTGAGACCCTGTCTCAAAATGAAAAGTAAAAAGAGAGCTGGGGAATATAGCTTAATGCTACTAGAGTGCTTTCCTCATGTGTGTTCAATCCCCAATACCACTAGAACAAAGCTACTCCAGTGAAGAGATAAAATGTTTAATGACCCACATGTGGATAAGGGAAAGATACAATAATCTAGACAAAAACGTGAAAAATCTGCACATTGGGGTCCACAGTGTCAGTCAGATCAACAACCTTACTTCCTCTCACGGTGTAAACATGCTCCTTAGGATTGAGGCCAGAGGTTCTCTAAGGGATTTAGACTTGTGCCAGCTTGAATGTCTATTCCTTCTGTGGAATGGGCATATACGGGACTCGGAGACCTCTGCTCATGAGATCTCCAGGCAGTTGAGAGGGCACATAAGCCACTCTGGTCACAAGAACTGCCTATGGACATGCTCCAGGCCTAGGCCCTGCCGTCATACCGTGTGCAGGATGAACTCTGGTGTCTCCGTCCTCTTATACCTGGTGACCTAAATCTGTACTGTCTCTTGATGACCACACGGATTGCCCAGTGCAGAAGTGTGGTGGTAATCTAATTGTACTGAAATGTGATTTTAATTGTATGTTAATAAATAAAGTTGCCCAGGGGTCAGAGCTATTAGAGCCATAGACAGAGTGTGGTGGTGGTGGTGGTGGTGGTGGTGGCACACGCCTTTAATCCCATAGATCTCTGTGTGTTCAGGGATACAGCCAGCATTGGAGACATATGCCTTTAAGACCTAGGGGGCTGCACATTCAGACAGTGACGAGGCAGTCACGTGTTTGGGTTTACAACCAATGAGAAGGCAGAATGACTATGAAACGACTTACACACAGGGAAATAGCTCTCTTCCAGGAAGCTAAGACCACCGCAGGAGGAAGGGTAAGATTTTAGCTCTGAGCTCTGACCTCTCGGCTTTCTCTTTTACATTGGTTCTGTGTTTCTTATTTAATAAGACGGTTGGTTACATCTACACAGAAGATCTGAACGTCCTGCAGACATGAGACCTACACCCATCCGTTTTGCCCACTAGACATATTCGTCTAACAAACCCAAAACCAAGCTCAGGGCTTCCCCCATGAAACCAGCCTTCTTGCTGTGGCTCGTATCTGACTCATAGGTCAGATTCTAAAACGTGTCTTCTAGTCTCCATACTTGATTTTCATGTCAGGTGTCAGTTCAGATTTCTAAGATATTCTGGAATCTACCCTCTTCATGAGTTAGCATCTCTCTTCCTCTTTGTGCATGTATTTAACAAATATGCATCAGACCCTCTATTAGACGTTGGAGGCTCCCTGCCTACCCTCATGGAATACACAGCCTACTGAAGAAACAGGGCCAAGCTAGCAACTGAGTAAGGAAAGGCACAGATATGAACTGAGTCAAAGGTCCAAAAGAAAAACGTAGCAAGCTAAGACAGCTCTGAAGAGGGCTAGTCTCTTCTGGGGGCCAGGAAAAGCTTCCCTCTTCTTCTTTTGTTTTTGAGATAAATTTATTTTAGCTGGGTAACACACACCTTTAATCCCAGCAATTGGAAGGCAGAGGCAGGGGGATCTCTATGAGTTCGAAGCCAGACTGGTCTACAGAGCGAGTTCCAGGACAGCCAGGGTTACACAAAGAAACCCTGTCTCAAAAAGTCAAATACATATACGTGTGTGTGTGTGTGTGTGTGTGTGTGTGTGTGTGTGTGTGTGTGTGTGTTTTGCCTGCATGTACATATGTACACCACAGAGGGCATTAGACCCTGGAACTAGAGTTACACATAGTTATGAGTTAATGGTAATGTGGGTGCTTGGAACTGAACTTGGCCCCTCTCCAAGAGTAGCAATTGCTCCTAACTGCTGAACTACCTCTCTACTCCAGGGCTTCCTTCTGACTTCCGTCATCCCTCAACTAAGCTGCACTCCCACCCTCCTCCTCCTCCTCCTCCTTCCCTTCCTCGAAAAGGTCTTACTATACAGTGCAAGGCTGACCTAGAGCCTCCGTTCACCTGCACTTCTCAAGTACGGGGTTTCCAGGCACACGTCCCCACACCATGTATACAGTAGCTTAACAGCTGAACTTGTCTGCGTGCCGTGTCTCCCCGACTCTCCGGTCTCTATTCACACTCTCCCATTTCAAGGAGTGTGTCAGGTATTCAACGTACAGGCCTGGTCCGTCTCATGGACATCTGTCCCTCTCGCCAGCTTATGAACTAGTTTGATGGTGAGTGTTGTCGAACTTGTGGCTGCAGAAATTACGTCTGCTTTGTTTACTTTTTGGACCTCTGCTCAGCACAGTTTGCTCAAATAGATGAATCAGTAAAAATGTACTGAGGGGATACACCTTCTAAAACATAACTCTAATTGTCTGCTTAAGAACTGTCA